ATATATATATATATATATATATATATATATATATATATATATATATTGTTTTAGGTTTTTTTCCTTGTTCTTCCTAAAGCACAGATGTCAAAAATTGGTATCAAGCATTCAATTCAACTCTAAACTTATGTGTAACATAATTTGTCTTTTAGCGTGCCACATTTTTCAAAGGAACTAAGTTGGTACCAATGTGGAAATGCTCGTGAAAAGTTTTTTTTAAGGAAATAACAAATATTCTAAATGTCTTTTTACCTGTGCAGTATCTTCAGCTGCTTGTGGTGGCAGTAGTCAACCAGATGCTTCAATGAGTCGTATTCTGGCCGTGAAATAAACGACCTGCAAAGGTTGTGCTGACTGGAAGTCTTGTTTATTATTACCTGCTACTGAGGCTAAAAAGAAACGGTCCACCTTAGCATTTCTGAAAATATACTTCCTGACTTTTCACACTAGCAGCTCCCCAGGTGGTTCCTCTGTGCCTTGAGTTCTTGAATCCTGACTTGAACTTTTTCACACTCATCCTTGCACCCCTGCATAAACACATATAATCCACCCAAGACCCCGTGGGTATCCTTGCATCTGTGGCCTGTAGGAGCACACAGATCATGTCAAAGCCTCATTTCTGTCTCTTATGTTGAATTGGGGGGGGGGGGGGGGGGGGGGGGTTGAGGAAGGCTAAGCTAAAAACATGTGGCACCTTTCACCTTCAGGGGCGGCCCGGGAAGAGGAAAGGCCGGGTTTTGGAAAGGGCTGGAGTCTTTTGAAGCGTTTGGTCAGTGTCTGGCAGCAGCAGTGTGCCATTACTGAACAACAAGTCAGAACACTTGAACGTGTACGTCGTTTTTTTATTCTGACATCCTTCACCATCCATCCGTAGCAGCTTCCAACCGTAATCTTAAAGATGCAACAAAAAAAAAAAAATTATTTATACCTTTATTTTACCAGGAAGAAATCCATTGAGATAATCAGTCTCTTTTACAAGGATGTCCTGGAACAAACGATGCTGTTGGACACATTTATATTTGGCTCATAGGCATAAAAAAACTATTTATCACGCAACAATAAGACATCAGCAAAAAGCCTTTAAACAACAATAAACTTTATCCTTACAGAGGGTGTTATTGTGTTTTCCTCTAAACCAACAAGCAGAAGAATTGAAGGAATCAACCAGTTTATGAGAATCCATATCCCTGTGCCTTTTAACATTCATGCTAATTTCAATTGCAATTTTCTGCATGCCCTTAAAGAATACACACCAACCACCACCTTTCATGACTGTTAAAATAATTAAGATGAGAAATGAGATTTGCGGTTTTGGTTCTGGTCAAACCTTGTAAAATATTTTATTTAGGATTTCTTGTCATATTGCAAGGGTAGACATTTTTGTGTTGCCTAAAGTTCATTAAAGACTCAAAGCAGTCTGCTCCTCAGATGAATAATGTTTTTAACTTACACTTCATGTATGTGACCGTTTCTGTCCAGTGATGATTCTGTTGTGACTTGGCGCTGAATAAATCAACTGAATTGAATCCAGTTGAGGAGCAGACTGCTTTGAGTTTAACTTCATCGCACAACTCTCATCTCGAGCAAGCATGAAGGCGACAGTGGAACAGAAAAACTCCCTCATGAGGAAGAAACCTTTAGCAGAACCAGGCTCAGGACAAGCGGCCATCTGCTCTGACCAGCTGGGTTTGAGAAGAACAGGAAGGAGGAACAGATACACAATGGCAGGTCAAGAATCACATGTTAAAATAGAACTAGTATAAAAAATAAATTCTATTCAATTTTAACAAATCGTTTAGGGAATTAGGTCAATTTGTCCTCTAGTAGTCCAAGTCTATAGCAGCATAACAATCCAACCCTAACTATAGGATTTATCATTAAAGAAAGTCTTAAGTCCAGTCTGAAAACTGGACAATGTGTCAGCCTCATGGACAGAAACTGGAACTCGGTTTCACAAGAGAGGAGCCTGCAACTGGAAGATCTTCCTCTCATTCTGCTTTTTGAAACTCTAGGAACCGTGAATAAACCTGCAGTCTGAGAGCAAAGTGCTCTGTTAGGAAAATCTGGAATAATAAGATCTCGAATATAAGATGGAGCTAGGTTGTTGAGAGCTTTGTAGGTTAGAAGTAGGATTTTGAATTAAATTCTGGACTTGACAGAGAGTCAATGGAGAGAAACTAAAACTGGAGAGATATGATCTCTCCCACTAACTCCACTTAAGACTCTGGCAGCAGCATTTTGGATCAACTGAAGACTTTTTAAAAGAAGTATTTGTACACCAGATATTAAACCATTGCAACAGTCCAGTCTAGACGTGACAAATGCATGAACCAATTGAATTGAATAAGTTGTGGCAACCATCTTGAATTGGTTTAACTTAGAAAATCTTTAGTAAATGACTGTACAGTGATTACGGTAGTTTTTGTAAGTTTCATTAAAAGCATCCAGTGGTTCTTTACAAATGATCCAACAAAGCGGCAGAACTGACCGTAATCACGTATGGCAAAGCTTTAATAGCAGATCTCACGTGATCAGTTAGTGCTCAGACTGCGAAATGAGCCACGGCTATGAGCACCAACAAAAGTGGTCAAGTTTTTGTGTTAGTTAAGGACTCCAAAACTTAATCAGTTGCACTTGTCCATTCAAGTTAAATTTACTGGTTTGAGATATTTTGCTAACTCTACTGATGGCAAACCCACACAAACCTGAGGAAAAACATCACAAATGGCAGCAGGCAACAATAATCTAAAAAGTGCACAAGATGGACTGATTACGTCTACAAAGAAATTCTAATCCTATAAAGACACAAACATAGCTGAAATAATTAAACCCATAATAATTCTATAGACTCAAGTACATTGTTATTAAATCAAATTGAATAAAATCCCAATTTAAATCCGTTAAAATAAAGCATTAACTCAAATTTTCCTGTTTTAACTTGTTTATAAATGGAGCCAAAAACGCCGAATGTTTAAAAAGGATCTACTGCAATTAAAAGCAATCACTTTATTCAAAGTTTATGTTTTTCCATCCGTGTCAGTGAGCACATTGCTCGCATGTTGAGACACTTGGAAGAGAAGAGTGAAGGATGGAGCCCGGAAGAGACTGCAGGAAAAGGAAGGAGCGAGAGGAATGGGTGCGCGGACCGAGATGCCCTCCATCTCCCGGAGGGCAAAGACTCTGCAAATGGCTCCGTCGTTCAGAGACAGTACGGAGAAGGAAGGTGGAGAAATAAACAGTAGGCGAGGAGTGGGAACAGTGGGGGCAGGAAACTGTCGGTGACCTACTGGACAAACAAATTGGTTTGCAAACAAAACGGATTAAGAGGCTGAGCTGAGCAACAACAACAAAACACAAGAATGATGTTGCAATGTGAGCTCATCTATTTTGAAGGGGGCTGAGTTTAGAGGCTTCATGTGGAAGGGTGTTGTATATTCGGCTGTGTGCATGTGTGCGCGCACGAACGCTCTGCAAGTCAATATTTGTCTGCTTTGCCACGTCCCCAGACATCCCATTCGGCGCAACAGACCGTAAAGCTGTCAAATGCGACCTGAATATTCTGTCTTCATCTGCTTCCTCCTTTCTCTTTTTTTTTTCTTCATCCTCCTCCTCCTCCTCCCCCCCCCTCCTTCCTCACACTCACCCACTTCCTTTTGATTTCCTTATCCATCGATAACAATATCTTTGGGGCAGAGATGTATCAATGGGTGTGGTGGCCTCCCCCCCCCCCCCCCCCCCGCCCTCACTCCCATGGAAGAGCAAGATTATCTCCTCTTATCTATATCTCTGTTTGCTCACACCATCAAATCATTTCTGCCTGTGTGAGTCGCTGATATATTTTAAAACCAGCGCATGTTTTATAGTTCTTACAGTATCATCCACTTTGTGTCTCTTATCTGCATTATGTTTTATTACACACATACACACCACGGGTTGCTGTTTTCCTGCAGATAGCTGCTGTATCTCTTGTCCTGAGCTAAAGCTAAATGACTTCAAGTTGTTGTTGTTTTTTTTATTTTCCAAGTATATCGTACAGCTGACTTATCTGTCAGAACTTAATTTCTATAACTTTCTTCTAAATCCATTGGTTTTCTACAGCAAACATTGCAATTTGCAGATAGTTTGTTGCTCTGTCTTTAGTTATATGCAGTATGTGTTGACATTAAATTATTGTGTGAATGCTTAAGTAATGTTTAGTGTTTGAGGCTTTTAATGCTTTAGATCTACAACAGTTTTTCCTTTCTCCAAAATGTTGTTCACACTGCGAGTTAAATTCACATTTTTCAGGCCCACAAGTCCTTTCATCTGGATAGCTTTGGCCCATATAAAAACATTTGGACGCCCCTGATCTGTGGTCATTTCCAGTATGCATATCTTACTACAGTATGTTTCATCTCAACCATTATTATTAATATTTTCTTTCTCTCGTTTACTGTTTTTCTCTTTTTCTTTGCTTTGGTAACTTTTAACATTTTGTACTTTCTGTGTAGTTTCTGGCATTTGTTGGGGTATATATGTTGCATGTTTGTGGTTGGAAAATTAAAAATAAATTGTGTGAATTTGTAAATAGATGCATTTTCTTGCAGTTCATTGTGGTATCATTAGCTGTAATTTAGTCATTGGCTTTTAAGATCGTTTCTTTCTTTTTGTCGAATCAGGTTTTAAATATTTTCCTCAGGCTCCACCCACCTGACCAAATATGGTCTTATGAAGAAATCCTACTTGGTGCTGCCAAATCAAAAAAAAATATATGGATTCAATATGACAATTTACAACTCTAGCTATGCCCGTATGTAAATTTTTTGTTATCCTTGTTACGACTATTGAAAAACACTTTAAACATCTAAAGTGCATAAACGACACACAGCGAACTGTTTGAGCTCTATGATTATATTTGATGGTTAAATCTTTTTTTCTTCTTATGTGTTGCCATTTTGTCACAATCCTCATGATTTTTTTTAATTTTTTATCTCAGCTAAAAATGTTTGTTATATTATGTGCCAGCATAATGACACGGTTGTCAACCAGTTTACTCGTCTTTGCCTCCTTTTTCATGTAAATCCCTGTAAGACCTGTGTCATGATGCGTTTGCGGCGCCTTATTTTAAACTTGCCTTTTGCCTGCGTGCGAGTATGTTTTTATTCTTTTGAGAGGCAGCCTGGCGCAGGCCCCAGACTTGATAAAAACATGCTGGGAGCATGGCAGCGCTACACCTACTCCACTACAGGGTACAGGCACCGGGCCCTGTCCTCTCCAATTGGCAGCCTCTGTGCTGCTGTACCGCTGATAAGAGGCTGGTGTAAATAAAACTGTACAGCAGAGCTTGTTAGAGTGCTGAAAGTAGAGTGCAGGAGGGCAGAGGGAAATAAGACAGAGCGTGCGGTGTCTGTACTCATTGTTCTGACAGCATACTGTGTCTGTGTCTGCACGAGTTTGTGTGTTGTGTGGAAAAAAACTGGACTGCAACGCAATTTTTGTTGTGTTTGGCATGTACTCATTTTTATCTTGTGATTAAAAATGAAACTTTATAGATATGGTGAGTACGGTTTAGGCGTTTTTGTTTTTATGGCCGTGGGAACCGTGGGAATAAATGATTAGTAGCTGATATGCGTGTGTGTTTGGGTGTGTGTGTATGTGTGTGCATGAAGGGTGTGTGTT